TTACCCATGTTGACTTTGAATAGGTAGAGGTAAGGATATGTATCATTATTCAAAACATTAGAGATCATCTCTTCCCACCACCAACTTTCAGGTGAGGGAATTGAGTCTCATATAAGGTAAGTAATTCACAAAGATCATGTAATTAGAAGCAGGTAGAAGAATAGGATCCAGCTTTCCCAACTTCCAGTCCAATGCCCTTTCTAAGAATTGTTTGATCTTCTCAGTAAAGTAATGAGAAGGAATTATTCACAGTCAAATGACCTGTCAGCTGAGGATAGTTCAGCAGGCCGTGTAGAGGTAATCACAAATGCAGGGACAGTGAACAGGCTGCAATGAACTGAAAAAGACACATGCACAGAGAGATGGAGAAGATTTAGTAAGGGCAGTATTCATGAGTGAAAGGCTAAAAAGCAGAATGTAGACTACAGCATTATTTCTTAAAGAAAAACTTTACTATGGGAAAAGTAATATTATGAAAGACCATCGTAGTACATTTCGAAACTATGTATCAACCATGTCTATTATGTATTGTCTGCTTAAAAGTATTGTAATAATAATTATCTTTAGAGAGGCAATTATCTTTTACTAAAACTTAATTTTGTAAAGTTGTGACCAGGGCACTTGTTACTGGAGGGAGTTAGTGCAAATCTTCTGTACTGTACAGTGAATGGCTATCTTTAAGTTGTCATCTCAGAAGGAAAAAATCTTTTTGAGTTGCCAGTGAGACTGCCAGGAGTCTCTCCAACATGCTGCTGAAATCCCTTTTTATCCCATGTATATATACTAGCATCTAGCTTCATAATACTACCATGAGAATGAACTCCTGGAATGTTTTCTAGAAGGGTAGCATCATGACATTTTGGTGAGCCATATGAATCTCGAGTATTCATATAGTCTCTGGGAATAATTTGTGCTATCTTATGGTGTGGACTTTCACTGGGAAAATATGCTTAAGACTTCTACATAGCTTTCTCCCATTCCCCCAGCTATGCATCTCACAAACCTTCCCTCTCTAGCTAGAACTTTTGGACTTGGGACTGCTACCCTCAGGATTCCCAGTGGCTAACTATGCGGTTCCTCTATCCAGAGTTGACACATGGTTGAGAAGTTCCACACTATTCTCTCCAAGCATGGGACCAGGAACAGATTCTTTCTTTGGGCCCAAAAGGTATGCACATGCCAGCCTCTGCCATTAACTGTTTTAGGAACTTCCTAAACTCACCTCTAACAGTACTCTCAACATGTAACATTATAGCACAGTTACACACTCTAGAAAAGAACTGAGCCATTGGGTGAAGAATAATGACCAATGATAGATATTCCCTACCAGAAAAACATATTCATATTTTTTACAATTAATCTAGATCAGTGCTTTCAAATTCTAAATAAAACTCTTTCAAGGTATGCATTTTTTTACAGTCTTAGCTGACTGGAGTACAGAAAGGTTGACTAATTTGCCCAGGATCACACAGCCAGTATGTGTCAGAGTCCAAACTTGAACTCAGATTCTATTGATTCCAAGGCCAGTCCTTCTATTTAGGCTACTATGTTGCTTTTCATATGCACAGTAGCTGAGAGAAGGAAATGTAAAGCTGACAAATATTTCATCAGTGGCAGTGGGCGCAGGTCAGGTGAGCTAATTCCCCACATCTGACTTCATTGTATATTAAGTATGTACCTTTATATACTCCTCTGCTCTGTTGAATTTGTCTTCAGTTTAAAAAAGTGTGTTTATGCATTTGCATGTTTGTGTAGTGGAAGGAAAATAGACTCAACTGGTATTCACAACCTCAATGACACAGTGACAAAGCCCAAAAGCATTCAACATTTCAATATGACTACTGCTCTCTCAGGCGCCATAACAGAGACCTTGAAAGGCACAAACAACATGAAAATAGTCATTATTTTCCCCCTTTCCCTGACCATGTGGCTCAGCTCCTCTTTCTAGCAGGTGGCTTCTCTGCTAAGTGTAAGCAAAGCTATCCCTGACCTGTTCTGGTGCTGAGAAGTCTGTTAACAGAGGAGATAATGCTGACTCCGGATTGCTTGTGGGATACTCTGCAAGAGATGAAGCAGAAGCAGCCTTGAAAAACAGCAGATGGCATAAGCAGGCATAGTGCCAACTTATAATTACTACCTGCCAGGCCTAAGGGAGCAGTTTTGTGTGTGTGTGTGTGTGTGTGTGTGTGTGTGTGTGTGTGTGTGCGCACATGTGTGTGTTTCAGAGCTGGGAACTAAAAGTCTCCTCTCTCTCTCTCTCTCTCTCTCTCTCTCTCTCTCTCTCTCTCTCTCTCCCTCCCTCTCTCTCTCTCTCTCTCTCTCTCTCTCTCTCTCTCTCTCTCTCTCTCTTTTTCCTCCATTATCCTTTTATTTGCCCCTTGATATGTGATTTCACAAGTAGCCATCAGACAATAGACATCTTTCCAGCACTCCATGACTCATGCAGCAACCAGAGTAAGAACAAAAGGAGGTGTGGCCATTTATCAGAAACAGTTGGTCGTTCTAAAGCTGCTGCTAGTGGGCCCCAGCGTTATATAATGTCTCTGCTCAGAAGCAAACCACAGTGGGACTTTCTGACCACAAGCTATGGTCATCTTGTAAACCTGTTAAAGTGCCATGTTTATCATTGTTGTGGATCTTTTTTTTCCCCCCTCACTTATAAAGGTTGATAACAAGCTACTCTCAGGCAACCCAGCCGGCCTGTGATATGGCTCTGCATGAGCAAAGGAATGGCTTTATTCAGATAACAGCAGCAGTTGTTTCTGACAGTCTGTAAATAAGTGTGAGGGTGATGGGAAAGAAAACATTTACACTTACACATTTACTGGATTCTAGCTGTAGGGCCATATCCTCCCAGGAGATCCACAGTATAGAGGTGAGATAAATGGTAGTTTTACTTGGATTGTAAATGAAATGAAGTAGTTTGGCTTTCTATTTTGCTTACAAGCTCCAGAGGGGAGCATTCAGAGTGCAAAATAGGGTGAGATTGTGAAGTTTTGCTTCCACCTCCCACACATGAACACATTGGTTCACCAATTCAAAATATTTCATTAAAAAATAAATAAGAACAAAATCGCTAAGATCTGAAAAGCACAAAAAGATCCATAAGGTTGCAAATCAGATGATCCTGCTTATGGCACTGATTAATGGGGGGGAGAAAATCTATGTAAATATATATATATGTATATATGTATGTATATATATGTATATATATATATATATATATATATATATGTGTGTGTGTGTGTATACACACACACACACATACATCCCAAAACACAGAAAACAATGGTATTTTTCCTCATTTCTTTGAAAAGAAAAATTAGATAATAAAATAATATCAATTAGAAGACAAAACAGCAAACATACCAATAACAATATTATTTTGTATTATCCACAGTTTTCAGTGATTTAAATGTTTTCTTTTTTTCCATATTCTCCCTGAAGCAAAGACATAGTAAAGTAAAAATATTTATCTTCCAAGTAATACTGATAGATAGTAAATTAGTTGGGAAAGATATTTTATAGGATCACAGGAACTCAGAGTTGGGATGGATCTCACAGACCAAAAAATTCAAATACATAGTTAAATAAAAAACTCCTTACACAATCTCCAAAAGTGGTCAGTGCAGTCTTGCCTGGAATACCTTGAGTAAGAGGGAGGCCAGCACCTCCCAGAACAGCGTATTCTACTCTTATCAATCTTTAATCTCATAGGAATTTGTTTCCTCACCCTGCCCCAATTAATTAGAACCTTCTTCCTATTATTTGCATATTGATGACAGGATTCATCAAAATAATACAAATACAATTATGAAAATTTTAGTAATTGTTCACTACCTATGGTCTATTGTACCATAAGAAATATTGAAAGGAACAATTTCAGAGAAACATAGAAAGACTAATATGACCTGATGAGGAGTGAAGTGAGTTGGAACCATTTAAATATATGTAAAACATCAAGAAAAGAAAGAACATAGACACAGTTTTTGATCGCTGTAATGATCAATCATGGTGATTACAGAGAGACATTGATAGTGAATGTTACTGACCATCTGACAAATAAGTAATGTATTCCATACAGAATGAGACATATTTGTGGATATGGATAGTGTAAGAATTTGATTTATTTTATGCAAATTTATTTCAAAGATGTTTATTATTGCTTTTTCTTTTTTAAGGGGAAAGAATAGGCAGAAGGAAGAAAAAAGTGAATGATTATCCCTATTTTTGTTAAATATAAAAGGAAAGATAAGAGATTGCAAGTCCAGTCAGTGGAGGAAACAACAATTTAATATGTTGAGGCGTAATTGGCATGCAGTCCATGGCAGATCAGGTCAGCAAGGGAATGACTGGAATATAAGACAAGACTCATTAGTGTAAAGATGATATAGAACTTGATTATTGAAACACAGATACAAGATTGGAGCAGGGTAAGTTTATAGGACTGGCTTAATTACCAGATGGTAGCTTAGGGCTTCTTACCCAAATATAAAAGTCACAGAAGAGTTCCATGGGATTTTACTCATCATCTATTCTTGCCTCCTTTTGAAGCAAGAATCCAGGGCATCTTTCATTGTCACACTTTCTCACTGTACCACTGTCCCTGACACAGACTATGGTCAAGCTGACAGTGCTTAGATGTACTTATTAGCTAAGATCCATTTGAGGCACTTTTACCTCAAGTAAAACAAATGTACCATGATGGATAATGCAGAAAAAGAGCATCCTCCACCATTAGTACACATTCCATTAGAGATTTCCTTGAAAACCAAAAAAAAATAAGCCAGGTTTAAACAGTTTCAAAATGCACACAAATAAATTGACTTGATGTTGAGCCACGTACAGCACTGAGACTTCCGCTTCTAGGAGCCAAGATAGCAGAACAGAAAGTAAGTCATTCTCAACCTCCCTCATTGACCTCTGAAAACCCAGAAAACATTGACGCGGGAAAAACCCTGAGCCAGCAAAAAGAGAGAGAATATAGAGGTCTTGTACCCCAGGCAGCTTGGGGGATTAACAGGAAAGGCCTTTCTCACTCTAAGGGAAAGGGAGTAGCATAGGATTGCCGGTGTCGCAGAAAGGCAGTGCAAGCCCCACCTAAGCTTGCCAAAGGGATGTCCTGAGACCTAGATGGAACAGTCAAGTGCCAACACTCATACGGGAAGGGGAACTGGTACACACCAGTTTGGAAAATGACCATCGTTGAAAGCACAGTCAACCTCCAACAGCAAAATCACCCAGTGCCTCAACACAACTCTGGGAAGCACAACTCTAGAAGGAAAGTGGTAGGCTAACAGAAATCCACTAGCAGTGAAACATCCCTCTGCAAGGCTCATGCAACCAGGAGCCAAAATTCAAGTCCAAAGCCCTGGTGAGCAGGAAAGGAAGCTTGGGTAAGTGCCCCTTTTGCTTCAGCAGGAGAACTAAACAGTTTTGCTTTATTTTTGTTTGTTTGTTTGTTTTGTAAAATGTTAGAAAACTGACAAACACCATGAACAAAAACAGAAATGGAAAATGACCATAGATTCCTATTTTTTGGGAAAAGGAAGATCAAGGCACACTCTGTATGTTTGCTTCTGTTTCAAATATGTTTCTGGTAAACAACATATTGTAGACATATGGTTTTTATTCTATTCTTCTATCCACTTCTGTTTTATGGGAGAGTTCATCCCATTCACATTCACAGTTACGATTACTATCTGTCTCTTTCTCTCTATCCTATTCACCCCTCCCCAATTTATGCTCTTCTTTCTCCTTTTCTCCCTTTTCCTCCTCACTAGGGTTTTGCTTTTGATCACCACTTGCCTCAATCTGCCACCCCTTTTATCAGCCACCTCCATTTTCTTTCCCCTTTCCCTTAGTATTTCTTACCTCCCTTCTATCCCCCCTTCCTCTTTCTTTCCCCTTTCTCCTCCTACTACTTATTTTGACTCAATATGTTATTCCCTCCTTGAGCCAAATGCAATGAGAATAAAGTTCAAACAATGCTCATCCCCCTCCCTTCTTTCCATCTACTGTAATATATGTGTATATGTATACATATATTGAACAAATAGAAAAGGAAGTCCAAAAGCTCACTGAAGAAAATACTTCCTTAAAATAAGAACAGGTTAATTGGAAGCTACTGACTTTATGAGAAATCAAGACATTGTAAAACAAAACCAAAAGAATGAAATAATAGAAGACAATGTGAATTATCTCATTGGAAAAACAACTGACCTATAAAATAGATCCAGGAGGGATAACTTAAAAATTATTGGGCTATCTGAAAGTCATGATAAAAAAACAAGAGACTCTTAGACATCATCTCTTAATAAATTATCAAGAAAAACTTCCCTAATATTCCAGAACTAGAGGGTAAAATAGAAATGGAAAGAATCCATCAATCACCTCCTGAAAGAGATCTCCAAAGGAAAACTCCTAGGAATATTGTAGCCAAATTCCAGAATTCCCAGGTGAAGGAGAAAATATTTCAAGCAGTCAGAAAGAAACAATCCAAGCATTATAGAAACACAATCAGGATAACACAGGATTTAACAGCTTCAGGGCCAGAGGGCTCGAAATAGAATATTCTGGAGGGCAAAGGAGATAGGATTACAGCCAAGAATCACCTACCCAGCAAAACTGAGTATAAACCTTCAGGTGGGAAAATGGATGTTCAGTGAAATAGAGGACTTTCAAGTATTCTTGGTGAAAAGACCAGAGCTGAACAGAAAATTTAACTTTCAAATACAAGGCTCAAGTGAAACATGAAGAGGTAAACAGGAAAGAGAAATTATAAGGGACTTATTAAACTTGAGCTGTTATGTTCCTGCATGGAAAGATGATATTTGTAACTCATGAGACCTTTGTCAGTATTAGGGTAGTTGGAGGGAATAAATTATATGCATATGTGTGTGTGTGTGTGTGTGTGTGTGGATAGATAGATAGATAGATAGATAGATAGATAGATAGATAGATGGCACAGAGTGAGTTGAAAATGAAGGGGTCATATGTGGAGAATAAAATTAAGGGGTGAGAGAGCATTATACTGGGAGAAGGAGAAAGGGAGAGGTAGAAGGAGATAGCATAAAACAGAGAAGAAAAGGATTTTACAGTGGATTAGAAGGGAGGGAGGTGAGAGGGAATGAATGAATCTTATTCTCATAGGATTTTGCTTAAGGAGGGAATAACATACAAACTCAATTGGGTATAGAAATCTATCTTACCCTACAGGAAAATGGGAGGGGGAAGGGGACAAGAGAGCAGAGGGGTGATAGAAAGGAGGGCAGATCAGGGTAAGGGGTAATCAGAAGCAAACACTTCTAAGGAGGGACAGGGTCAAAAGAGAGAATAGAATAAATAGGGAGCAGGATAGGATGAAGGGAAATTTAGTGAATTTTCCACAGCATGAGTACTATAGAAGTGTTTTGCACGACTACATATATATATATATATATATATATATATAACCTGTATCAAATTTCTTGCCTTCTCAATGAGGGTAGGTGGGGAGTGAGAAAAGGAGAAAATTTGGAATACAAAGTTTTAAAAACAAATGTCATAAAAAAATTGTTTTCACATGCAACTGGGAAATAAGATATGCAGTCAGTAGATTATAGAAATCTATCCAGCCCTACAGGAAAATTGAAGAGGAAGGGGACAAGAGAAGGGGGGGAGAGATAGAAGGGAGGGAAGATGAGGGGAAAGGGTATTCAGAATGCATGCCATTTTAGGGTTGGGAGAGGAATGAGGTGGGGAGAAAATTTGTAACTCAAAATATTGTGGCAATGAATGTTGAAAACTAAAAATAAATTAATTAAATAAAAAAAAACTCTTTGGCTTCCAAAAAAAAAACACTATTTTTATCATCACATCAAAGTCAACCTAAACCCATCACATCTGTCTATGTATATCCCTTCTATATGTTGTAATAAAGAAATGGTTCTCAAGAGTTATAAGTATTATCTTCCTATGTAGGGATGTAAACAGTCTGGTATTATTGAATGTTTGCTTGATTGTTTTTCCCTTTTCTGTTTACCTTTTTATGCCTCTCTTGAGTTTTGTATCTGAAGATCATATTTTCCATTGAGCTCTGGTCTTTCTTTCAGGAAAGTCTGGAAGTCACCTATTTCATTGAATATCTATCTCCTCCCCTGAAAGATTGTGCTCAATTTTGCTGGATACTTGATCCTTCTTTGTAATTCAATCTCCTTTGCCTTAGGGAATATCATACTCTTTTAATGTGGAAGTTGCAAGGTTTTGTGTAATCCTGACTGTGGTTCCATAACATCTGAGTTATTTCTTTCTGGCTACTTGCAAGATTTTCTCCTTAACCTGATAATTCTGGAATTTGGCTACAACATTCCTTAGCGTTTTCAATTTGGCATCTCTTTTGGGAGATGATCTGTGGATTCTTTCAGTGACCATTTTAACCTCTAGTTCTGGGGCCCCAGAGCAGTTTTCCTTGATGATTTCCTGAAGATGCTGCCCATGCTCTTTTTTTTCATCATGGCTTTCAGGTAGACCAATAATTCTTAAGTTATTTCACCTGGATCTATTTTCCAGGTCAGTTGTTTTTCCAATGAGGAATTTTATTTTTTCTTCTATTTTTTCATTCTTTTTATTTTGCTTGACTGATTCTTGATGTCTCATAAAGTCATTAGCTTCCAATTGCCCAATTCCAATTTTTAATGAATTGTTTTCTTTAGTTGCCTTTTATACGGTCTTTTTTTTTTTTAATGTTGTTTCTTGCTTATATTGTTTACCATTTTTCTGGATTTTAAAGTTCATCTCTGTTTCTGGGACACAGGGGGCACTGTCCCAGGCTCTTTGTGCTGTGAACTAGGGGCCTGGTTACTGGTGTACTGAGGTGAGGATTACCACTGGCTTGTTGGGACGCCTCCCTTCCACTACTGGTCTGCTTTAGCCACAGCAAGAGGGACCTTTCCCGTTAATCCCCCTAGCCTCACAAGCTAAAAGGCTACTATATCTAGTCTTTCTACTGACTCTACTATTTCAGGATTTTTCCTGAGGCAGCATTCTCTGGGTTTTTCAAGGTCAATAAGGGAGGGTAAGAGTGAGTTACTCTTTACTCCACCATCTTGGCTCCCAGAAGTCTAAACAGGTGACTTCCAAACATTCAGTCTGTGGGCTAATAGCTCCAGCAGCAGCACTGCAGCTGCTGGCACGGCTACTGCTGCTGATTCAATCACTCCCAAGGCCTGTTCCTGGTTTGCTGGTACAGTGGTTGTATTGTTATGCCCTGCAGCTGTACTCTGGACTGAGCTTCTCTCTCAGTTCCAGCAGATCCTTCCAGCTGACCTTCTAAGTTGCCCCTGGTGCCTGTGGGCTGAGAAGACTGGAACCCACCACTGCCGCTGGTGATTCAGTCCCTCTGAAGGCTACTTTGGCTTTGCTTGGGCCATGTTTGCTGCTGTGCCCTGTGCGCTAGACACTCCTCTCAGGCTGGTGCAACAGACCTTTCCTGTCAACCTTCCAGGTTGTCTTGGGCTGGAAACCTACCACACTCTGTCTCTTTGTGGTTCTGCCACTCTAGAACATGTTCAGAGTCACTTTTTAGAGTCATTTGAAGCAATTTGGGTGAGAGCTCAGGCAAGTCCTTGCTTTCACTCTGCCGTCTTGGCTCCCTTTCTACAATTATTTTTTTTGAGGCAATTGTGGTTAAGTGACTTCCCCAGAATCACATAGCTAGTGAGTTCTGCAATATTCTCGACAAATAATCCTGCCACATTAGTCTGAAGACTCCCAGTGCAGGGAACCATCACATACTGAGGAAGCTCATTCTCCTTTCAGATAGTATCAGATAGTATTGCTATGTTTGTGTTTGTGTTTGCCTTGAAAACTAAGTTGAAAGATACCTTGTCAATTCCTGCTACATATTATTCATTATTCTCTCCGATGGGGGCAAGCAAAGAAAGAAAGGAAAGAAGGAAGGAAATAGGAATTTATTAATCTCACACTGTATGTTAACCACTGTGTTACATACTTTATAAATACCTTTCCATTTAATCCTCACTAAAACTTTGGGAAGGAGATATTATTATTATCTCTATTTTCCGGCTGAAGAAATTGAGAGAGAAAGATGTTAAATAACTTCTCTAGGATCACACAACTGATAAACTTCTGAAGCCAAATTTTAACTCAGGTCTTTCTGACTCCAGGCTCAGTGTTCATCTACTGTACCACTCAGCTGCCAATGACAATTCCTCTTTCACATTACAAGTATTCAATATTTAAGCATAATGATCATACTCACCACTCTCCAATACCATCTTCTTTTCTCAAGACTATGTCTCTTTAATCTTTGCCAATTTTTATATAACAAAATATTGCATCACTTTGTCATTCAGATTGATTACCAAACTTATTACATATATTTCTGTTTGTTAAC